TTTTTTTTTTTTTTAGTGTCAAATGGAAAAGTAATAAAGTGAAAGGAATAAAAAAAAACAGCTTACAAAAAGTAGAGTTAAAAAAATTCAATTAATACATCTCAGTTCAAAGGCATCCAAGAATTATTTAAGAGCGTATGTTAATCAAGTAAAACAATTCAATGATGGAATCCTATCTATAATTTTGAATTGGAATTAGCCCTCTATGGAAAAAGAAGCCCCTTTGCAACACCAACCCAATCATCAACTTGATAATTTTTATCATCCCACATTTGAACAATGGAGCTAATATGGTAATATTAGTTTAGCAAAACAGAAAAATAAGAATTAAGCTTCAACCACAGGTACCCATAACCACAACTGCTGGCTTTATACGTCCTTTCTGCTTCCTAGCAAATTACCTTGCCTAGCATCCCTTAATTGCTAATTAAATTAACATTTAGCATATAGAACTCAACTCAACAGATCCTTCCAGAGAATAGTACAAACATGATACTTTGTAACACAAATGAGACAGCATATTTTAAATGAAATCCATGGCTATGAATTTTCATGAAACCACCCTTTTTTATACTAGCAACCAAATGGCTATCACCCACATTAAACTAATAGCATCGTATCCTGACTATCTAGATGTATCAAGAAATCCTCTTGGGACCATAAATTAATACAGCTTCATTAACAAGGGAACGTTTCTTGATAACAGTAGAAAAGATAATGATCTAATGGAAGAGCAATATAGTGACTATCAGATTATTAGACTACCACTCTAACCTTTGAAGCAAAGGTTCCTTGTGGCCAACCAAGAAGCTCAGCCATCATTTACTCTGTCTGATTGCAATCATCATCAATTGCTTACACAAGCATTTGGCTAATAAATTAAATCTTGCAAAAGAGAAATAACTCAATACACAAAAATTCATGTATAATAAAGTCAAAGAATTTGGATTCCTCAGATTACTTCCTTCTGAAAAAAGACATATTCCAATCAAATAAACAATTTTATTAAAGCAAGCTACAGAGATTCAAAGTGACTATTTTGAGTGGGGCATGCGGATTTCTCTCTTATCTTGATATAGGATGGTAGCAATAGCAAGGTACAACGGGAAACAAAATACAGCACAAGATAAGGTTCTAGTCCAAAAGTGTTTAGAGCTAACTACAGATTATGAAATGATTAGATTCCAGTTTAAGTGAAGTCCGCCAATTAAGATTCAACTTATATAATAACAACAAATACCAGTTTAGAATTAAAGTCTGAAGTATAAGAAAATCACATATGAACTTACAGAGAATTAATTTGGTGATTCTGTTTTGATGTCTCCTACCAAATCAATCAAAGGCAAGAGCCACACTTTCCCGTAAAGAATAGAAGTAAGAAAATAAACCTCAACGAACAAATTAAAGACAAACTGCTCCTAAATTTTACTGTTTGGATGCTGAGAAATAGTTAGAAACCAAGGAAAAACAAAAGGACCAAAGACACTAGACTAGACTTTCTAGTAATTGAAGCGAGGAAGGGAATGCTTGAGGTCCGTAATTTGTCGTCACACATTTGCAATTAAAATAATGAAAAGAAAAGAACTTACGTATCTTTTCGTTAATCAAATTCAGCGAATGACACAAAGACTCTGAACCTAGACGGGTTGGCGTAGAAGATCGGGGAATTTCACGTAGGAAAATGAGAAGGTTTAGGAAAATAAGGAGTTAAGTCGAAATTGGATTAAACGATCAACGAAAAGTGTCTAGATCGGGTGGTGGCGTTTTCTGGGCTTTGAGTACCGGCAGAGTCAAAACTTGAAATAGGTAGGGGAAGCAAGGTGGCCACAGAGAGACTTTGAGTATCCGTTTGCTATAACGGTTTTAAGGTAATGAT